CGGACTCACGGTCAACTTGTGTAAGCTGGTAAGGTATGACGGTGAATTTGTTAGTCCCATGACCACTTGATAAGCCAACCAATAAAATAAACTGTTAAATTTCAATGCCAAATCATATCTGTCATCCATTTCCGATCGTTTAACCCAGTACCTATGAATAATCCCTTTTTTTTGGAGGGTGGGGGGGTGGCAGCTGTGAGATTAGTTAGGACTCGTGCCGAACGTCACAGCCGGTCCACGTTCAGCGGCCGTGTTTATTAAAATGGTTAAAATTAGAGAGGAAGGCGTTCATGACAAAAGTGTCCATTTTCGCTTCGCTAGGACCGTTTGAGGGGAAGCCAAACCGACTAATTATAAATCTGTCAACGATGGAGAGTTGGCAGTGGGTCCGCGGGGTCGAATCAGTGGAATTTTACAAATTGCCAATTTAATTCCGTCGGGCGTGTCCGATGGAAGAGAATGATTAGAGAATGGAAAACGGGCAGGGAATGGATATTGTGGAGGGTTGGTTGTACAGTATTGTCCTTTGGCGGTTCTTCTTTTAACAAGCCCTCCCCGCCCCCAAACTCAAAAGAACAAAAGGATACCAAAAAAAAAGAAATAATTAACCTCCTTGAAATGATTTCAAGATGGACAGATAAGACGTCCGGTTTTGAGCCACAGGAGAAACGACGCTCGAAACGCGCGCAAGGCGAAAGATAGGAATCTTGCCTCCGGACGGGGAAACGAGCGAGGACAGACGGACCCAGAGAGCGTGAATGACGAAAAGAAATCAGCCCCACGGGGAAAAAGGTTATTAAATGCCCTAAAATATAAACTATAAATTCAAGATACGGCTGAAAACTCCCCATATGACAGATGTAAAGGACAGATAAGCGACCTCAAATAGATAATGTAAAGGTCAGGGGAAAACCCACAAATACAAACTGTAAAATCAGGAAAGGCCAGAATAAAACAAACAAATAACAGCTGTAAAGGATGTGGAAACCCACAAATATAATTTGTGGAAAAACCCACAATGGCAAGTTGTAAATTTGCGTATCCCCTCAAATAGATGTTGTAAAGTAGTGAGAAAATAAAAAATAAATTCTAGTTGTAAAGAGAAAAAAGCCCACAAATAATAGCTGTACAGTCGAAGGTAAAACCCGACAAATACAAGTTGTAAACCCTTAAAAAAAAAAAAAAAAAAAAAAAAAAAAAAATTGGGGGATTTGCTGTAAAGTCAGGAAGCTGCATATTCGTTGTCACGAAAAAAAGCCCACAAATAATAGCTGAAAGGCAGGAGAAAATCCCCTCAAATGCAAATTGTAAAGTCAAGAAAATTCACCCCCCCCCACAAATACGAGCTGTAAATGCCAGGAAAAAAGCATTTCTGACGATTTAACTGTAAATTGTAAAACCATAGAAAAGCTTTGAAAAACAAGCTGCAAAGGCCATTAAAAAATCCCAAAATAATAGCTGTAAAGGTCCGGGGGGACGCAAATACTAACTGTAAAGCCAAGGGGAAAAACACAAATAAGAGCTATAAAGGCCAGAAAAAAAAGCCACAAATACCAGACGTAAAGGATACTAGAAAACGCCCACAAATGCTGGTTGCAAATAGGCGAAACCGCTCAAATAAAATTTCTAAAGCAAAATTTAAAAAAAAAAAAACCGCACTAGCTGTAAAGACCAGGAAAAGCCCACAAATACAAGCTGTAAAAGCCAGAAAAAACACAACATGGTGTAAAGGTGGGGGGGGGAGTTCCTACACACCTCAAAACAAAATGCTAACAGCCACTAAAAAAACATTAATTGGAGTGTAAACGTCAGGGAGAGAAAAAAAGCCATAAAAACCATGAAAACCCCTCAAATAATAGCTTTAAAGGGCAAAAAAGCCACAGGCACAAGATTTTATACCAGTGAGGGAAACCACAAATACAATCTGTAAAGGTCAGAAACACAAGCAGAAAGAAGCACAATAAGATAAAGCTTAAGATTCAAAAACTAAGATAATACCGAAGAAAACACAAGCTTTAAAGCAAAGTAAATGTTCAAAAACTGACGGAACCATACAGCTCAAGCTGGAAAGTTGTAACTGAACATACATTAAAATATAATTAAAATATAAGCAATGAAGCCAAGATCAATCTGGACACTAATCACAAAAGTCTGAATTAAAAGAGAGGCACATAGAAAGCAAGAAAAGCAGAACAAAGTAATAAAAGGGAAAAAACGAAAAATCAAATTGTCTAGCTGTTAAAGTAGCAGTTGAAAGTCAAGTGGATAAGGTGTCTTTTGCCAATTTTGTTTACTTTTAGCGTTAGGGATAAGATAAATAAGGCGAAACCATAACGTGGTAGAATTGGCAAAAACAAACAGGTATATCTGCAAACATTCGGTAGAGAGAGAAAAAAATAAAGAAAAACAGACAGCTTATTTTGACAATGGCGCGCCCAGTCTCGCGTGAATTTCAAAAGTCAACGGCCTTTATCCTCCTCCGGGTCAAAAAGGCCGAGGAAAAAACCAAAGATAAATTTTGCCAATTTGTATTTTGTTATCTATACCAAAAAGAGCTAGACTATGCGGCCCAAGGGGGGTTGTTAATTTTAAAAGGACCCGTTAACACTATGACGCCTACTTCTACCTGGGACCCTGGGGTTAAATAACATGGATTGCCTTTGGCCAGTACCGTTTTAATTCCAGTCCGGAAAGAGCGACGCCGTCCGGACCCCCACCGTCTCTCGGACCTTGAACGTGGTCCTTTGTCGGATGAATATGCCCCCAGGAAGTTTACATTTATTTACATTTTTTTCAATTAACGTTTTGACACCTGCGGGTGCCCTGTTGCTTGCGGAACTCGATAACAATAAGAGACAATGGTGAATTTTTTTTTTTACTCTGAATATGACGTGAACAAGTACCAAATGGAATACGCCCCGTCTGGCTTCGTTCTTATCAGGCAGGATTCAGATGAGATGGGCTGATATTGATCAAGATTTCTCAGAAACTTCATGGACAAAATATCAAACATGAAGAGGAAATAGAAGGGGGACTGAAAATATATCGTCCTACGAGAAGACCTTTTCGTATAAACAGTGGATTTCTAAGAAATTACATGAAATCCTAAGACTTTCGAAAATATTACTATATTTTCTTACTAAAGAAAATATTATTACTTTATATTTTTATTGTTTATATTTTATTACTAAACAAAATATTACTATATTTTCTTATAAACAACTCAAGCAAAGGCGAGATATTCCATGAGAAAAAACAGTTCTGCTTAGACTTTTTCATATAAACAGCGGATTTCTAAGAAATTCAAAAGAATCCCGGGACTTTCAGGTCATCAACCTATCCCAGAATGAAATAAGAAATTTTTTTCCTATATTTTCTTTTAAACTTCAAGAAAAAGTCGAGATATTCCAACAAAAAAGAGCCCGAAAAAACACTTCAACTTAAGACTTTTTCATATAAACAGTGTATTTCTAAGAAATTCCAGGAAATCCTGGGACTTTCAGGTCATGAACCTATCCCAGAATGAAAGAAGAATTTTTTTCCTCTATTTACTTTTGATTTCGGAGAGAAAAGTCGAGGTATTATTCCATGAGAAAAAGCCTGAAAAAAGTTATGCTACTGTTTCATATAAACAGCAGATTTCTAAGAAATTACAGGAAATTATTCAATTTTCAGGCGGTGAAACAATGCCAAAACGCAAGAAGAAATATTTTCCTATCTTTGTTTTATAAACTTTTGGAGAGAGACGAAATATTTCAAGAGAAGAAGGTTGAGAAAACAGTCCTGCCAGATTTTTTCTATATAAATAATGGATTTCTGGCAAATTCCAGGTAATTCTGAAACTTTTAGGTCATCAAACTATCCCAGAATGAAATAAGAACTTTTTTCTTGCATTTTCTTATTAACTTCAAGAGCAAAATCGAAATATGCAAAGAAAAAAGACCTGAAAAAAACAGTTCTGGTTAAACTTATTCATATAAACAGAGAATTTTTAAGAAATTCCAGGAAATCCCGGGACTTACAGGTCATCAACCTATCCCAGAGCGAAAGAACATTTTATTGCTAGATTTTCTTATAAACATCTCGAGCAAAGTCGAGATGTTACAAGATAAAAATCCTGAACAAAGTTTTGCTTAGACTTTTTCATATAAAAAGCAGATTTATAAGAAATTCCAGGAAATCCTTGGACTTTCAGGTCCCTGATCAATTCCAAAATGAAAAAAGAAGTTTGTTGCTGTATTTTCTTACAAACAACTCGAGCAATCGCAAGATATTCCAAGAGAAAAAGCCTGTAAAAACAGTTCTGCTTAGACTTTTTCATATAATCTACTGATATTTCTAAGAGATCAGGAAATCTTTGGGCTTTCAGGTACTGAAACAATCCCACATGAAATAAGATGGTTTTTTGTCTACATTTTCTTATAAACTTCTCAGCCAAAGTGGAAATATTACAAGAGACAAGCCTGAACAAATATCGTACTTTTTGGACTTTTCCATTAGGCAGAGGATTTCTAACAAAATCTAAGAGATCCTGGGACTTTCAAATTGGTACACACCAGAGTCAAAGAAGAGTTTTTCCTCGTGTTTGCTCATCCACTTCAAGGCTAAAATCATGAGGTAATCCTACAAAAAAATCCTGTATTAATTTCCAGGATGTTCCATGACGATAACGTATTTTATTATCGACAACTGTCAGTTCATGCCGTTGGTTTTATTGTTCTCTAAATATAACAATCTGTAATAAAAAAAAAATCGATAAAACCGGTTGAATGGGTCTGATAGAAGCAAAATCCGACGGAACATGGGAGAATTAGTTTAGCAAGAGTTATTAATTTTATGAAATATTATTTGGGTTTGTTTGGAGGGATGGCGGGTCTGTTTATGGAAGCATGGCTTCATGGACGCTTGGGAGTGTGGATGGAGTGAACAAAGCGAAACGGAACGACGCCACGCCGTTGTGAAAAGAAGATCCCCTCCACCTAAGTCAAAATCGTACTTACGTCGTATCCCGTTCCTCCGGGTCTCAATGTCCTTTGGTCTTTTGTATTTTGAACTTCTCGCCTGTACAACCAACGGCGCACATAAGGTAAAAATGTCGACTGAGCCGTATCGTCGTGGGTCCTCCACCCTTCCCGGGCGGCCTTCTTCCCCACCTTCCAGGCCCGGTGGCCACGGCGTTGCCGGTTCTACCGAAGGCCCTCCGACGGCACCCTCCGGTCACGAAGCATCCCCCTTTTTTTTGCCGAGGCACCCCAACGTTTCTAAGCCGGTCGAAGTTCGGAAATAGCTCACTGGGGCAGACATCTGGGGGTCGGACTTAAGGGACTTGACGGACTTGGCAGGAACATACCGCGAACCCGAGCGGGCTTCCTCAAGACTTTTCAACTGGTCTCTTGTAATATCTCAACCTTACTCGAGATGTTCATAAGAAAATATAGCAATAAACTCTTCCCATTTTGGGATTGGCTCAGGTCCTGAAGTCCAAGTATTTGCTGACATGTCTTAGAAATCCCCTGTTTATATAAAAAAGACTAAGCAGAACTGTTTTTTCATGTTTTTTCTCTTGTAATATCTCCGGCTTTGCTTGAGATGCTCATACGAAAATATAGCAATAAACTGTTCTTCTTTCATTTTGGGATTGACTCAGGTCCTGAAAGTATTTGCTGACATTTCTTAGAAATCCTCTGTTTAAATGAAAAATCTAAGCACAACTTTTTTTTTCTCCAAGCTCTTTCTCTTGTAATATCTCGACTTTTGCTCGAGATGTTTGTAAGAAAATATAGCAATAAACTCTTTCCATTTTGGGATTGGCTCAGGTCCTGAAAAATCCAAGCATTTGATGACATGGCTTAGAAATCTCCTGTTTATATAAAAAAGTCTAAGCAGAACTGTTTTTTCATGTTTTTTCTCTTGTAATATCTCGGCTTTGCTCGAGATGCTCATAAGAAAATATAGCAATAAACTGTTCTTCTTTCATTCTGGGATACGTTGATGACCTGAAAGTCCAAGGATTTCATGATATTTCTTAGAAATCACCTGTTTATATGAAAAAGTCTAAGCACAACTATTTTTTTAATGCTTTTTCTCTTGTAATATCTTGATTTTGCTCGAGATGTTTATAAGAAAATATAGCAATAAACTGTTCTTTCATTTTGGGATTGACTCAGGTCCTGAATGTCCCAGTATTTCATTTCAATTAGAAACCCGCTGTTTATATGCAAAAGTCTAAGCAGAACTGTTTTTTTAATGCTTTTTCTCTTGCAATATCTCGACTTTGCTCGAGATTTTTATAAGAAAGCCATAAACTCTTCTTCTTTCATTCTGGGATAGGTTGTTGATCTGAAAGTACAGGATTAGAAATCCCCTGTTTATATGAAAAGTCTAAGCACAACTTTTTTTTTTCTTTTTTTTCAAGTTCTTTCTCTTGGAATATCTCGACGTTTGCTCGACTTGTTATACGAAAATATAGCAATAAACTGTTTTTCTTTCGTTTTGCGATTGATTCAGGACTTGAAAGTCCAAGGATTTTCTTGATATTTCTTTGAAATTTGCTTGCAAAAATTGTTTATAATTGTCAAATCCAGACAGATGTTTTTTCAATTTTTCAAAAAATTTCATTCAATCTTCCAAGGTTTTTCCCGAAATACTTCCCTATTTGAGGAGGAGGGGGTTGTTGAAATTAAAACCACCCTCGGGATTTCCGTTTAATATCGGCTGTTATTGACGTACCGACGTACCGTACGATTTTAACCGTTTGAAAAGCTTTTTTTTCGGCCTTATTTATTATTACATTATGGGATTTTTTCCCTGAAAAACGTGAGCTAATTAAAAATTACCCAGGGGGTGGTTTTTTTGAAAAAAACACTGTTTGGTACTTTTTTATGAAATACATGGATATAATAGGATGTATTTATAATGATGTTGATGTGTTATTTTTGTTAACCCACTCCCTTATAAACAGAGATTAGGGGCGAAGGGAAAATCCATATGGAATTTTTCCCGTCTATATTTCCAGGGGTTGTTTTTCACGTTGAGGACGCCAATTAGGCTTATTTTTGAACACAAAGTGTCATGTCAAAAAAATAAAATAAAATAAAAAAGGGAAAAAGTACGGTGTTGGTAATTATTTTTTCCCTTCGAGGGAGGGGGTCGACGTTGGTATCAGAGGGTTGATCTTCCTTGCAGATACATACCCCATGGGTGCCAGGAAATTAAAACATCTAAGGGATGTTTTCCACCCTCCCCACACCAGATTCAACCCCCGTTAATCTCAGGGATCGATAATTAACAATAATTCCCTCTAAATTACCTTGAGAAGGTGGAGTTTGTTTTTCACCCATTACTACCCGAACCTCCCCGGGGATTGTTTTCACCCCATTGTTACTACCCAGTTTTTTCTCCTAAAAATTTCTATAAGGGATGATTAAAAGACCTTGTATCTAACTCGAAAGTGTACGACCGAATAGGACGATTAAAATGCGCAGCCATATGTTCCGATCCCTTATGAATATCAAACGATAGTCTTTTTTTAACGGGATGAATTTTCAATACAGAAAGTATGACTTGTAGTACAAGCTGACGCAATTTTTCTCGAGGATGATAGATGTACCCCCTCCTATGCCATAGACCCAAATATCCACAAGTTTCTGGCACGGTGAGACCTTTGGTCCATCAAGCTGTTCTTGCGTGTTGGAGGAAAAAAGATTTTAGGAATTTAAAGGAGGTATAGTCTGGTAAAGTCGTGCTTTTGGACATTGGAGGAAAGATGGTTTTGGTATGGATATGTAGGGTAGCTTTTCAAATATGATGGGACTTGGCACCTCACCCCTAGAGCACTATTCTTGGATAAGGTCGTGCTTTTGGATATTGGAGGAAAGATGGTTTTGGTTTGGATATGTAGGGTAGCTTTTCAAATGTGATGGGACTTCGCACCTCACCCTAGAGCACTATTCTTGGATAAGGTCATGTTTTTGAATATTGGAAGAAAGTTAGTTTTGCTATGGATATGATATGATGGGACTTAGCACCTCACCCTAGATCACTACTCTTGGATAAGGTCGTGTTTTTGGATGTTGGAGGAAAGATGGCTTTGGTATAGACAGAAAGGTTAGCTTTGCAAATATGATGGAACTTAGCACCTCATCCTAGAGCACTAATCTTGGATAAGGTCGTGTTTTTGGATATTGGAGGAAAGATGGTTTTGGTATGGATATGTAGGGTAGCTTTTCAAATATGATGGGACTTCGCACCTCACCCTAGAGCACTACTCTTGAATAAGGTCGTGTTTTTGAATATTGGAAGAAAGTTAGTTTTGCTATGGATATGAAGGTCAGTTGTGTAATATGATGGACTCAGCACCTCACTCTTGAGTACTAGACTTTGTTAAGGACGTGTTTTCGAATATTGGAGGAAAGATGATTTTGATATGAATAGAATGGTTAGCTTTGTAAACGATGGTTTGCTGGATCGTGTAATAGGTAACAACCATCCGTTGAGATGACCTTCCAGTAGCGTGCAGTTGATCCAGCGTCGACCTGTTGCGCACCCCTTTCGCCAATCGTTCAGGACCTGTTGCTTCTTTAACCATGGACAGAATTCAAAAATGACCTGACCGAGGCAGGAGGGGAGAAAAGCGAAGAAGGAAAATTGAATCCGGAGGTAATTTCGAACCTGAAATCGAGGCTGAATGAAAGCCTCGTTAGCCGGGTTAATTTTCGCTTAAACGCTCGGATTTTTTCCCATCCCTCATCCACCATCTGACCCTTTAACAAATCCTTAATTACCCCTGAAATTGTTTATACCGGGATTTTATATCAGGGGTTGGTTTGGGAAGAAAAATTGGCTAACCTCCTGACAGAGCAGAAGCTTGCCAAATCCTCCTGCCACTTTCTATAAAAACAATATCAAGGATCAAAGGTCAAACACACCCTCGACCTCCCACCAGTGGACAAACCGGGTTTTAATAACGTCGGAATAGATTGGACCCCGATTGGACCCGGGAGTCATCAGGGTGACCGGAAGCGACCCCCGGCTCGGATATTTGACTTCCTGTATTTCCTCGTTTTGCTCGGAGTCTCGTTCGATTAATCTCGGGGACTTCATTTTCAAGTTGGAAGAAAAACAACCCGCCCGGCAAGTTTATTATTATGTTAACAATTAATTGGGACAGGGGCTTCAAAACCACCCCCTGGGCATAGTTTCTTGACGTGGGGGACGGTTTTCTTCAAGGGGCAAAAAACATGGACGGTTTTAAGCTGATGCCTAAGCCCGCGTTTCAGGTTCGAGGGGGGGGGGCTTTAAAGTTGGCAAGTACACGGCCATAAATCGCCCGGTTCAAGGGAAAAACCATAGCCAGATAATTCAATAGACTCGCAAAGAAAAAGGAGGAAAAGCGATTTTTTTCTGGAAGGAAATGAGAACCAACCTCAGCAGCGTATCGTTGGGTTTACAAAATTCTTTAAACCTCCAAGCCAAACGAGATAACATTGACATTAAAGAAAAAGTTCTACAATTAAATTATCAATATTGACTCTTTAAACGATTGTGCAGGCTCTACGCAAGATACCAAAGCAGTGTATCGCTGCGTTTGATATCGTTCACGTTTATTCTTTAATCCTTCAAACGAATCGAGGTCGGTTGACTTAAAAGGTGTAATTTCAACAAATATGTTTAAAATTGACCCTACAAATGATTGTGCTCTGAAAACCAGCCAAAAAGAATGGTTTAGGTATGAAACATAAGCAGTGTATCGTTGCGTTGAACACCTTTCAGGTTTTTGCGTTCATCCTTCAAATGAATCTAGGTCTGTTGACTTTAAAGGTGAAATTTCAACAAAAAATGTTCAATATTAACTACAAGCGATTGTCCATTGAAAACCAGTCAACACGACTGGCTCAAGCTTGAAACATAAGCAGTGTATAGCTGCGATTAACACCTTCCAGGTTTTTGCGTTCATCCTTCAAATGAATCGAGGTCTGTTGACTTTAAAGGTGAAATTTCAACAAAAAATGTTCAATATTGACTACAAACGATTCTCCATTGAAAACCAGTCAACACCACTGGTTCAAGCTTGAAACATAAGCAGTGTATCGCTGCGTTTAACACTTTCAGGTTTTTGCGTTCATCCTTCAAACGA